GGGTGGGACGGCAGTCACCTGACGCCGTTCGGCGGCCTCCCGCACATATAAATTTCAAGCCATCTCCGCTCGGAAACACGCCCAGTTGAGGGTAAGCCTCAGTAGCCTACGCTTGTTCTCTTGAAGGTCTCCGGGACGAGTGATCAACCATGGCTTCAGGTAAGAACCTCGCATCCATTTACGCAATCATTCAGCTTTTATCTATTACAAAATTCCATTATCTCATCAGCGCCCTTTATTAGACTCCAGGCATTACACAAGATGTTTGCATCACGTGAAGATGAAATTGAATGGACGAATATGTGAAAAAGTGTTTAAATATTCGGCCTCGCTTGAGATTAATTAATTAATTTGTAGTGAGGCTACCGATCGTGCGGGAAGATATGAAATCAGAATGCGACAATATTTCTCTCTGAATTCAGAACTCATGGCTTCAACTGCCGTATTTGCTTGGAAAATTTCATAGACTCTACGTTAGGCAAACAAACATCCCAAGGAATTTCTCAAGAACCGGAAAATGTCATTTGAAGCCATTCCTGGCGCCAACTCGCTCGGGACTCGGACAATAATAAGTCCACAACGCAGAGCGATGTTCTACACATTCTCGGAGAAATAATTTACTCTCTAAACCATTCGCAGTAAACCATCAAAATTAAAGCAAAAAAACTGCCATATCTTTTGTCTAGGTGCTGGCATAAATATCTACTCCACAAATAGCGACAATCGATTCCCTAAGTGTAGTTCGAAATGATAGTGAAACACTTTCTGATAGAGTTACATTTCTCGTTTCGTCATTCGAGGGAGTCACGCCAATGTTTCCTTCAGGTTGAGATGAACAAACTGTAGATTTCCTCCTAGGAACCTATGACACAAGATGTACTGATACGACTAAGCCTGACATGCGTGTCACCATCGGCGGACTTATGAATTCCACATTCTATGGAGATCTACCATCAATACTACGGGATGTAGTACGTCACGGGAAGGTCACGGCATGGATAAGGATTCTATGCGAACAAAAATTAACTCTTCTTCAATCTTTCTACAGTCAAAATTTACCGATATCGAATCAAACTCCATCTCCCAGATGAGAATGACTAGCTCGGAAAGCGCAGTTTTATTGCGAGGGAAAATAAAATCATTTCAATTTTCTACCCCCCCCCATATGGAGATTATGGATTTAAGTGCTAATTAAATTAATATTATTTCCTTACATATATAATTCAGCTGCCATACGTGAGCAGAATTCACAATTCTTCCAAATGTTTTCTTTAATAGCCGAGTCACACTATTATAAAATTATCCATTCAAATCTCGAAATTAGTCGTTTCAGATGGGATCATTTTGTACACTAGACGCACATACAAAATTATCAACATCAACTATATTAAAGAGAAACTTTAAAAACCGACGTCTTCCACAATATTCTCCACTACGTCTCGAAAATAAAGATATGTAGTTTCGACGCTTTACGCGAGACAACATCACGGTCATTCACAAATCTACTAGGGAAAAACCAGTATTTTAATTTCGCAACTAATCCCAGTCGACGCGCCGTTCATGCAGGTGGCGCGATGAACTGCGCCTGCACCTTCGAAGACACGCCGTTCCTGGCGAACACGTGCGGCGCCACGTTCACGCTCTTCATGGCGCTGGTGGAGAGCGTGCTGCGCGGCCGCTGCGACGTGGCCGACCCGTGCCACCGCCTGGGGCGCAACGACCTGCACTTGGACGGCAAGGAGTTCGATTTCGTGGTGGTGGGCGCGGGCGTGTCCGGGCCCGTCGTGGCAGGGCGCCTGTCGGAGAACCCGGCGTGGAACGTGTTGCTACTGGAGGCAGGGCCTGAAGAGCCCACGGCCACGCAAGTGCCGGGCTTCGCAGTCAGCGCTGTGGGGTCAGTGGTTGATTGGAACTACACGACCGTGCCACAAGAGAACGCCTGTCTCAACCAAGGTAAGGTTCCCTGCCCATGCTACGAACATCCAGAAATGTGTACATCGAGAAGTATCCGGCTTTACAAAAAAGCATTGAAATTAATTTCCAAACTACATTTAGTGTGTAAAGAGCAAACTCCGGCCCAGTCACGGGTGTGTCACTTTATAAAAAAGTATAAATTATTCAAAAAGCTAAACTGATAAATATGCGTCAATATTTGCAGAGGATTAGTAATCTTAATTCATAAGATAGTGATATATTTACTTATTAGATGGAAGTTAGTCATGCCAGAAGTTATTAATAATGAAGTTCTCTGACCGTTCGACCTTTGGTCTATACTATAGGATCACATCAACCTCACACGCATCGAAATAGGTCCAGAAATTAGCAGTGTCCACACGTTTACCTCGTGCACGCGACAAAAAAGCTTGACAGGTTCACGCAGGAAGAGAATTAATTTTCTAACAGCATTTATTCTGGATTACTCTCCGGATTCTCGCACCTCAGAAAATGTTTACTGCATTGTACTCGAATTATAAAAATGTAGGTGACAGTTTCCATCGATTGCAATGATACCATGTAGTCTCGGCAGCGAATCAATTATATCACCAATTGCAATTTTGACATTCACATTACAATGAAATAGTTTAAAGCCGAGCTCTTATTATGATTTAATTACTCTTGTCAACTCAACAAACGCCATAACTGGTTCTGCACAAATTTACAGCGAAATTTAAGATCTTGGCAAGGTCTTTATGACAGATTCACTCATAGTGGAGAAATTAGAAGCCAATTTTACAGGCAACTTAATCGTTTCGAGAGTTCACGGAGAGACCCCTTCCCTTGCAGGCGGCGTGTGCAATTGGCCGCGCGGCAAGATGGTGGGCGGCACCAACTCCATGAACGGCATGATGTACACGCGCGGCCACCACTCAATCTTCGATTCGTGGGAGGCGCTGGGCAACGAGGGTTGGGGCTTCGACGATCTGCTGCCCTACTTCATCAAGGCGGAGGACAACGGCGACCCGACCGAGCTGGACGAGGGCTTCCACGGCTTCGGGGGGCCCGTGCACATCCAGCACTACCCTTCGCACCCGCGCCTGGCCGAGGACGTGGTGGCGGCCGCCGCCGAGCTGGGCTACCGCCAGGGCGACCTTAACGGACGCAACCAGACCGGCGCCAACGTCGCGCAGGTACGGAACTCTCATTCATTTTATTATTTCATTTTCTTCTGTTCCGATGCGACTTTTGCTTAGCACGAGCTCTCGCGGCCCACAGGTTCCACAGCATTTCGTGTACAGCTTTCCTTAACATGTTCATTTGAAAATTTTCCTGTACTCGTAAAGTTGAATCCGTACAAGCAAATGATATTGTATGATTATTTTCCATTGCTTGGTTAATCCGTTATAAGGGAAACATTCCCACATACACAGCACTTCCTGCAATTAGCTGCCATATACAGGATGCAGAACATCATTCAGCCTAACGACTCATTGATTACTCAGCGAAGATTCGAATTACCGATAACTTAGACACTCTGTTACTTTAATAAACAACACTTTATTAGTGCAATACAACTTATTTTTGTCGCAAATATCATGAGTAATAAATATGTTTTTAAGAAACTGCCATACATTACATTAAATAATGTACCTCACCCGCTCCATGGTCCGGCAGATGATGCAGAGGGACGGCCTGCGCGAGAACACGGTGCGAGCGTACCTGCGGCCCAAGCACGGCGCCCCGAACCTGCACCTGGCCACCGAGTCGCAGGTGACGCGCGTGCTCATCGACGCGGAGCACAACCGCGCGTACGGCGTGGAGTTCGTGGACCGCAACGGCGACACCAAGGTGGTGTACGCGCGCAAGGAGGTGATCCTGTCGGCGGGCGCCGTGGGCACCCCGCAGCTGCTGCTGCTGTCGGGCGTCGGCCCCAGCGAGGACCTCGAGGCCCTCGGCATCAAGGTGAGGACAACGCCCTTATCACTCGCGCGGGGGTGTCACGGTCGTTCGAGAGGCGGAGCGGGGGCGGCGATAATAACACCGCGCGGAACGTTTGTTCTGTTGAACTCAACACACTCTAGGAACGTCGAATACACCACAAAATTACAAACGAAATTGTTTTCAACTAATACCAATTACCACATATTTTTTTCGAATTTCATTAGACAAATAGTTCCGACATAAACACTCTTACATGAAAGTTAAATTCGAGATGTGACAGAAACTCGCTAGCATAAACTGTCAAACTATGCCGATTTCCATCGAGTCAATTTAAGTGAAGCAGCACTTACACCAAGATTCTCGCCTTGACAGCATAGAACTAAACAAAAGCAAACACGATACGTTTTATTATCGCGGCACAAAATCTTAAAAATACTACCAGCTTTAGCTTATTCGCGCTCCCAAAAACGCAGTACAATAAATATCGTTTGCGGTTTGGTACGACACTCCCTATAAATATATTGACCTCCATGTAACTTTGTACGACATAACACCAATCGTTAAAATAAATATTGTTAAATAACCATTAAAGGTAGGAAAATACATTAGCCACAATATAGGCTAAATTGCGATTGAGAATTCATTGATCTGTTCATCGTAATGCACTATTCTAAATACATAAAATTCAAATTTATTTATTCATAAATCTTCCAACATATTCATATCTTACAATAACAGGTCTAGAAACACTGAACATATGAACGGGTGAAAACTAGAACAGTGTAAGTGACATTTTATAAATTTTGCGAAAAATGTGTTTATTTTAGGCTGTATTTCAGTGGCAATGTATTTTCGTGGTTTTAAT